CCTACCTACCTACCTACCCTACCTACCCTACCTACCCTACCTACCCTACCTACCCTACCTACCCTACCTACCCTACCTACCCTACCTACCCTACCTACCCTACCTGCCTACCTGCCTACCTGCCTACCTGCCTACCTGCCTACCTGCCTACCTGCCTACCTGCCTACCTGCCTACCTACCTACCCACCTCGCCGAACAACAGAAGCCTTCGAAGCACCACTGCCTGCCGACTGGACGGCTCATTTCGACAGCAGCGTCTGCATCTCGAAGTTTCCTCGTTTTGAGATATGCATGCACACTATCAACATGCCAACTTCGGCACCCAGGACAAAGTGTTTTTTTACAATGCGTCGACGAGCGTTTCCTCGTGGTCTGTCCCCGAGAATCTATTGACCAGTCGGCCCGCAATCTTCTTTTGCGATCAGGACGCATCCGCTCGAGCACGTGTTCCAAGACACGTACAAGACCATCGTGAACTGGCGCAGCTCGAACATGTCGGTGCAGGACAAGCCTACGGCTGCCGAATGATGGAGCATGAACGGGTCACTAATCCCAATCGGCAGGAGCGAGCGGATGCCTTGTCAGAGTTACAGGCAGAGCTCCGGCAAATGCACCAGGCGCCACTGTCGTCTGCAGCAGATGAAGATTCGTTGATACGTCAACTGCATTTCAGGAAACGCAGGAAGAGTTAGCCAAGTGGCTCCCACCTGAGAGTGTCAATGCCGTGGGCTGCATTGGATTCATGCAACGGCGTGCCCATGTGATAGGTCTGAACATCAAGACGAGCTGGGCAACACCTTTTATTTCAACCAAGAGGCAGGGCCTGCATGGATGCGGAGTTGTAGCGGCAACAGACAGTGGAAGAAGCTCGGTGTTCGTAAACTCGAAAGACATCTGGTGGCCAGGGGTTTTAGCAGCAACACTAGCCATGTCATGCTTCACGCAATAGCCGCTTGCGTACAGCTTGACGTTTGCCCAGTTGGTCACAAACACATCAGGATCGGGGCCGGGCCCAGTTTTACAAATCACAATATTGCAATATTCGCAGATCCGTCTATGGCATTTACTAGTTTAGCTGCGTGCTCACGAAGCAAAGATGGCGGCTGCTGTACCAGCACAATAGGGTCACGCAATTGTTCAGTGACTTCATGGACAAAGCCAGACATGCTTTGACGAAGCTGCAGGCAGTAACGGTTAAGTGGATGATGCTTTCACTTCGGGGTAGACTGTGCCCCAAAGCTGTGTCGTTTTGTGTTACTTGCATCAGGAGGGACGGAGCACCTGGACAGATCCAGCACGGGCCAAGTGCCAGGCGCGTCGTGTCGAATGCAAACGGCTTGTTGCACGAGTCGTTGCGCGAAGCCAGGTCCTGTACCTGAAGACGCACGCGTTGAGCATACTGCCACTGCCTGATTGGCCTCCCGTTCGGAAGCCTTACTGTACTCCGGTCTTCGTTGCTCTCCGTCTGATGCTGCTGATGGTGGCTGCAGGGCTCTTTCTTTTCAATGTATCCTTTCTCATGACTGATGTTGGGTTCGGCAGGGTGACAAGAATCTTAGCACACCTTGGTCTGCATCGACGTGCGGACTCTTCTGAGTCCAGCTCCTTTCATGCGCATCTGCGCACTGCATGGTCTAGGACCTAGGATATGTTGGATTCGGTAGCAACATTGCTTTTGAGTCCAGTTCTTCTCATGGGCATTTCATAGGCATTTCGTCGAGCTCTCGAAATTCATGTATCTGAGTCCGTGTCGTCCGTCTCTCCCAGTCCTGTGTCGCCAGCCTTGTCCATCGTGCTTTCGTCCCCGCCCTTTGCTCTCAAATAGTTGGCTTCGGTTGCCATCTATCCGCAGGTCATCTCCGGAAAGTCGATCGCTCATCTGAAGGGTGTCGGAAAGGTGCAAGCACCGCAAGCCCTCGTCATACCTCCCTTTGGCACAATGCCATGATCGCAGATGTGTCGAGAATGGAAGGAGTCAAGCGATCCTGCAACGGAAGAAGACTGCATGCTCGCCGCCCCCTCAACCCCATTCTTGATGGCGCGGATCATTCAAAGTTTCACATACAGGCTTTTTAGGGCCTAGGCTGAAGGCTGAAGGCTGGGCCAAGGAAGCACTCCAGTGCCTGGTGTGCGCTGCTGCCTCGAAGCTAGGTTTCATCGGAGAACGCCTGCGCCAAGACAAAGTTTCTTGCCGAATGCCTGCCTGTGCTCATGCTGTGTGCCTCGTATCAGCAACGGGTGACAGTTTTCAAGCACAGCGCGCTCACCACAAATGAACAGTGTACCTATACATATATATATATATATATTTATAATTATATATACATATATATATATATATGCTCACCCCCCCCCGTTGACAGACCGCGGCGCGCATACCGTGTGTTCCTGGCAAGCGACCCTGCTGATTAAAACCTGTTCGCCGCCGTTAGCTTTTAACATTGGTTTGAGTACTTTCCTTTGGTATTGAGACTGG